AACAAAAAAAAAAACAACCACAGACATGCCGGGTTTAGATTAATAGTTTGTAGGGGAGTTGATGTGACGTGTGAGATACTGACGCCATGTTTGCCTTCTGCTGTATTTAATTTGAGGGCGACGGGGGGAGACGTGGGGGGCCCGGGGGGGGGGGGGGGCTGTCTGTTGTGACAGCTGATGAAGTTTGTGCCACAAGACATTTGAATCGAAGGAGAGAAGGCAGAGTCTTTGCACCGTGAGGGCGAGCGAAGCTGAAATATGAACGTTGCGTCATCAGTTTCGGCTGCAAACTCGGCCTAATGTCCTTCGCCGTCGTCAGGCGGTGACATGGAGAATGTGGGCAACGGGGACATTTATTAAATTAATCAATCAGCTCCTTTGCCGTGCCATCGACAAGGCATCCAGCGACGCCACAATCGCTCAGCATCTGCATAACGAATGAGACGGCGTGCGAGCGGCGAGGCTGAATTTATGGAGCGGAGCTGACAGGAGGCTGAATGCTGCGCGTCCTCGCTGAAATATTGCCTAAGACTGGTAGTTGTTGCACCACTATGAAACGCAGTTACAGCAGAATGTGCACAGAACGGTGTCTGGCCTTCAGTTAGCTACGGAGTGAACACTTTAGGAGAGAAAAAAACCCCCCATCAGTGTCACCAAATGTCCAGTCATGAGTACCTGGACTCTTCAGCAGTCCCATGTCCACAGGTCCATCGACTAAACCAGTGTGAGACCCCCGGGTGTCCAGGAAGACGGGGGCCATTTCTAAACCGCTCTCTCAACTGTTGCTGCTCCACAGCTGCTGCTGCTGCTGCTTCACCTTCACATCAGTTCCACATTAGGAGACAACGCTGCACGTTAACTCGAGATGTAAAGTATTTCTGCGTCTTACATCACCGCCGGAGCCCACGTTCATTCATGCAATTAGGCTGAAACTGAGATGTGGGTCACGTCCTGTCTTTGGTGTTTGTTGATCCACAGGGTCACATGGTTTCACTGGGACTTAAGTCGAGGATTTGACATATGACATTTTATTTTATTTATTTATTTTGGAGATTTTTGTTTCATATTTTCTCAGTTTTTGACTTTAACATTTTTGAAATACAATGTCATTTTTGACATTTCTTTATTTTCCAATTTTTTAGAGACATTTTTAACAAAACTAAGAGGTAAAACATATTGTGTTTTTTTTTTGTTTTTCAAGGGAAAACATAAATAAACACGACTAACTTAAAGCTGTAACATAAACTCACACAGATTGAAACTGTTTCAGCTCATGTTTTAGACACATGGCTGTAAAAGTTGACCACATTTGAGGCCTGGTTCTGATCTGATTTTAAATGTTAAAACATTTCTCTGATTATTTTCTGAATTTTGTTCTTTCCTAAATAAATCGCCTTTCTTTTGACCTGGGACAAAAACAACCGGGTGTCTTCATTATGCATTATTAAAAAAAACAACACACTCAAATGCATCACTGGCACAGAGGCCCGACGGCTTCAAGCTGACATTTTAATCAAGGATTCTCTCACTGCAACATATTTTGAGGCTCTACCCTGAAAACCCTGTGGGAGAAAATGCATTTACTTTATTTGACACGGTGGAAGATTTACGGCTTAATGTCTAATGATTATCATCTTATATTTAATGAGGGAATTCTGTCATCTTTGTGTAAATTCCACGCAGCGTTGAATCAGCAGGATTTGTCTTCATAAATAGGAAAGCGGGGGTGTGGGAGCGGGGGGAGGGGGGGGGGAGGGGGGGTGAATGCTAATTGTTATATTAGACATTTCAAACCCCCCGTGTTTGTCTTCCTCTTTATTATTATTATTATTTTTTCTCTTCACTCCTGTATCCCTCCACCCTGTGCCACCGAAGAGTAAATAGGTTTTAGTCGACTGCTTCCACAGGCTCACTTCCATGACTAAATTAGACAGTTTGGCCCCTGGGGCCTTGTCAAGAGTGTTTCCAGCTACTGCTGAACATGATGTATGACGATAATATTTGCCTGGCGTAGATTATAATGCAATGAAGCCACTTTTTGTAGCTAATGTCTTTCCCCTGATGAACATAACTTGACGTACTCCTCCCAAGTCGGAGGAAGCCCCGAGCCACGAACATCCACTGATTCACTTTAATTGTGCCCTGGAAGATGGTATCTGTGGAGTGGAAAGTTCTCTCAGCTCTCCAGGAGAAAGAAAAATAAAAGTCCCGTTTTCCCTGTGTGGAGATTTAGCAGAGACGGCGCTTCCTTTCAAACCTTTGGCATCCGTGAACGTTTCGTCTCCTCAGCCAGCGACTTTGGCACCGGCCCAGTCCAGAATTTGGATATGCTTCGTCAAACAGCATTACAAAATTAAGTTTTTTTTAACGCACGCGCTAAAATAAGAGTGAGCCAGAGATAATTACAAAGTTACATTTTTCTCCCAAATCCCAGTGTTGGCACTGAGGCGACGGAGTCGTTGTCCAAATCCCAACTCTGATAGTGTCTTTCCATTAATGTCTCCAAACTGTGGGGTTGTTGTTTTTTCTTTTTCTTTCCTGAGTCACTGTGGGACTCCCTGACTGACTGTACTGTACTGTACTGTACTGTACTGTACTGTACTGTACTGGTACTGGTATTTACCAAAGCCACGTCTCTGTCCACATCTGTAAACATCATGTTGTTTTAGGGTCGTTAGAAAATATCTGATAAGGAAATATCGCAATATTTCATTTAACAAAGAATATCAAAATTCTACAGCAGTGAATTTATGTTTTATCAACAATTACCAGTCAAATATTCCTGGTGTTGGTTCCTTTTTTTCTTCTTTCTTTTCTTTCTTCTCTAGTGATTCCAAATGTAGAAATGTCCATCCATCCATCCATTTTCATCCGCTTAACCGTTACCAGGTCGCGGGGGCAGCAGTCTCCACCCAAACCACCCTGCACCATACCTAAACCTTCCTGCAGGTGGTGAGTCCACTGGAAGGTACCACCCGCCCTAACCGGGATTGGATCTTGCCCAGTAGGTGAACCCTGGGGTTCCACACCAACGACAGAGACATTGACTCTGGGCCAAAGCGCCATATGAAGAAATGTACATTGTAACATTGTACATGTAAATGTACAAAAAAAAAAAAAAAAAAAACTCAATATATTGTCATGCAATATATCGTATTGTTGCCCCTGTTTTGTGATACGTGTCGTATGGTAAGATTCTTGTCAAAACACACTCTACCCTACATTGTTTTTTAACTGCGTCACCCAACCCACAGAACCTGGAAATAACGTCCTTCTCTGCAGACGTCCACAGGAAGACCAGTCTCCACAACAACAGTAGTTCAAACAAAACGTGGTCCACACAACTATAGCCATAACAAAAATGCACACACACACACAGACAGTGTCCTCGTCTCCAACTGAAGGTATGGTAACAACCGTTATCATGGAGATTTTAATTAGAACATAAAGAGACGGAAAATGATCCGAGGAATTAAAGCCCAATCACCTGCCTTATTAATCTAATCAGTCTGAACATCTCAGTATTCATTCTGTGTACAAACACTTCAGGTTGACACAACATAACACCTGCAGACACACACACTCACACTCACACACTCAGCGGAGCTGGAACATCCATTTACTGCAGACATGTTTACCATCTGATGACTTTCCATTCAGTCGATGAGAAACGTCGTCTCTTCAAATATTTACCAGGTTTTTTTTTTTAAATTATGGGCGCGTTCTCACGCCGCCAGTCGTTTCTTTTTTTTATCTCTGCACACAATTAAAACTGAGCCCAAACACGCTGCAGATGAAATAGAGCCACAGCGTGTCACTGGTTGTAGTGACTCCTATCGACCCTCTGTAAATGTGCTGTGCTGGCACAGCTGTGAGCTCCGGTTCAGATTCAATAACAACGATCACATGACCTCAGGAAAAGTCACAGCATTTTCTTACTCCCTCTAAAAACCAATCACTCTGGACAAATGTTGTCTTTACTCCGTTGTTGGCCGTTGGTCAACTCAGCAACCACAGTCTACTACGACCACAACGTGATCAACTCAGCAACCACAGTCTACTACGAGGACATGGAATCCGTTCCATGGATGATATTATGAGGAGTGAAGTGAAAACTACAGGCTTACATTGTGAGTACTTCAACTAAAAACATAAACTCAACTCTCTCTGGAGGAGTTCTGTAAATGGTGCTGCTGTTCAGCCATACCCCAAGAAACGTCTGATTTCCATTGGTTCATTTTCAGTATTTTTTTTTTTTTAATTTTACCTCAAGTCTCCATCAAAACAAACAAAACAAAAAGACTTTGTTTGTACTTGTCAAACTCAGGGATAATGTTTCATGAGACAAAGAGATCTCCTACAGAAATGATATAAAACAATCTTTTTTTTTAAACATTCAATTCAAGGTCCAACTTCACCGCTAGTTTGTACCAAGGACAGCGCTGTGGTACGATTGAACAACGTTTGTGTTAAAAGAAGCGACCCCTTGGTGGACTCTGAAGGACACTGAACATCGTCCACTCATGACCAATGCTGGACTTGGAGAGGAGACATGTTTTGTTTTTTTTCTCAGTGGCTCCAGGGACGTAGGGCTGCAGCTGCTGCTGTTGGGCGTCGGCGACTCCAAACACACAGGACTTTAGCATTTTTACCCACAAGACCCTGCAGTCTGGCTGCAGAATTTCATTGGACACGTAAGGAAAAATGTTTTAAGAAAAAAAAAAAAAAAGAAAGTGTAGAGGGGAAAATACCCCCCCCCCTCTCCACCTTCACTGTCACCATCCCCATTATGAGCCCAGACACCAAGGTCTGGAGAGCGGCCCAGGCAGAATATAAATATACAGTATGATAAAACTGACATTTAGAGGCAGCCATAGGATGGATGACTAACTGACGGCCAATTTAGCTGCTAATCTAAAGGCCAAGGCTACGGGTGGGAGGGGCTAGAGATCAATCCAGAAAGTGTGTGTGTGTGTGTGTGTGTTCTTTCTTTCACTCACCAAATAGATTGCTGGAGTGGCCTTGCTTGGAGACGGGCCGCAGCTCATTGGAACCCCAGGCGTAGCGAATGTAGCTGTCCCATG